TTTTCGGTTGATAAATGAAAAATATTTTATTGAAGATTTCATGTTCGAAATTAAGATGGTTGGGGGGGGGGGGAGTTTAGAATGAATATTTGTTATTTTGTAACAAATCATGTGGTGCATAAAAAATAAAGAAATTTGGCATATTTTAAGCTAAGTTTCTGAAAGAATTATGTAAAATGTTTAATATATAGAAACTTAAATGAATGGACATTTTAATTACCTTTAGTGAAGTACAAGCGTAGGTGCTTCATTCTTGCAATTTGAAAAGAAAAGTGATTAGTGCATGTTCCAGACAAACCTTTACAATAATAACAAGTTTGGGATCGGAATTTTAGTACAATTACTTTTAAATATGAATTAATTAAGGTGGTCAAGGAAGAGTTTAAAATGGTTATTTGCTATTGTGTAATAAATCATGTGATGCATTAAAAGACAAGAAAAGTATTTAAAAATGAGAAATTATTTATTAGCTGAACTTGTATAAAATTAAGTAGAAAAACACTTTAAAACTACATCATATTAATAAATTCATATTAAAAAACACTAAATAACTTACTTTTTAAAATAAGAATGATACTATTTTGGTCTTTTTTTATAATACTTTATTAAAATGACATAATTTAAAGTGTTTTTCAATCTAATTTTTTACTATCCAGCAACCAAACACTAATCTCATTTTAAATATGTTGTTAATTAATTAGCTGACATACTAATGCCTAAATTTTTGTGTATTTAAAGTTAATTAGCTATTTTACTTAAAGAACTATTCTTTTTAGCTTTGGCGAATCATGCAAATTAGCCCTTGAACATGTCAAGAGATGACAAAAGGCCCCTCAACTGAAATCAATAGCAAATGACCCCCTTAAATTCATGAATGGTGGCAAATTAGTCCTTATTTAACGGCCATGTCAATGTTACATTAAAAACTAATAGTTCTCTAGTTTCAATGGATTCCATAACTTACTTGGACACAATGTGGTCCACTGAAGTCTGAGATGGCCTCTCATGTTATTAAATCATTAATATTTTTGAATTTTCTTAAATATTCGATTAAGATTTAATTGCTATAATTTTTTCCATACATTAAAATTTAATTACTTACAATAGAAATCAATTGGATTAATTAAATCTCAATTGTCATTTTGTCAAGCAAACAAGAATCCAAAATTCTACATATTGTAGGATGGTTCCACAACTAAAGAACATTTCTTTTTATTCATAACAATTATCTTAATTTAAAAATTCCAAGGAACTAATTGTAAATTTAAAATTTAGAAAATGTCACCTCTGGGGAGATGCTTTATGAGGTTATCTTCAAGCAGGGGATTTTCTAGTTTGACTGCTCTGTAGACCATAGAAATGCAGCATTTCCTAGTTTAGCATTTACAAATAACAAGCTAAGGGACACACCAATCATGATTTAAATGCTTGTTGGAAGG